GTATTTTCAGATGCCAAGTAAACTGCATCATGGCAGCCCCCTGCCCCGCACCGAAATGGGCAAAATGAAAGCGGAAGGTGGTTCTTAAAGAGACAGAGGCCAATTTCAAGGCATTTAGAAGAGGAAGTGATGAGAAGATAAGTTTATTTTCTATTTAAACATAAAAACAGCATTTTAATAACAGCTAAAGGTGACATAGAGTCTTTATCATGGTATAGTATTTAAATGTATGCCTGAGAAACACGTGATATTCTTACATCAACTTGACTTGACTCCAGAAATAATCAGTTGTAGATGTGCGTTAATACTTTTTGCAATTTCCTTTAAAATTTGTCAAGTGTTTCATGAGACATTTTGGTGATGGACAGACACACAAACATTCTATCCACCTTTCCTTGTCAACAATAAAAAGACAATCAAAGGAGAACGTCATTTAAAAAAAGTCCACTAATTGGAATTAAAGTGAAACTTAGGATGTAAATACAAGTGATAGCACAGTGCAATAAAAGGAGGTTAAAATTATACCAAATAGTGTGAAACAAAGAGACGGTGGAGTGAGAAGAGAYGTGTAGATGAAGTGAAAACAGACTGGGAAAAACAGCAGGTTTGAAAATAGATTCTGATTTAAAACCCACTCTAATTAGCAGATTGACTCTGTGGGTGATAGAGTCAGAAAGGAGTGAAACTGAGAGAAGCTGAGGTTCATTATTACCCAAAGTAAAATCAACAAAGTTGATCAAAATTAAAAATAAATAAATAAATAAATAAAAGCATCTTACATGCTCTGAGAAAAGACAGGCGCCTCGTCGTTGCTGTTGGCGACACGGATGCGAATGGAGGCCGTCCCAGTGCGAGGCGGCGACCCCGCGTCCACGGCGACAACGACAAACTCGTAGATGTGATTGGGCCGCTCGTAGTCCAGGCGACGGGCGGGGCTGACCACGCCTCCGGACGTGACGTCAAAATCGCCGCTCGGAATKAAGTAGGAGAGCTCCGAGTTCACGCCCGAGTCACAGTCTCGAGCCAGCACTGGAGATCAGAAAGACAAAAAAACGTGAAAATGGTGTGTTTTTTTTCTCACCACAGACCTCCATGAAGACAGAAGTAAAACTGCGTGAGTGAGGTTGTGTTTGGCTGCCTGCCTAATAAGAGCAAAGCCTCACTGAAGTTTGACTGTTTGATCTTCACCAGCCACCAGCAGCTATGACAGATGGCTCTGACACACACACACAAACACACACACACACATATACACACACACAGTAAAATTACCAGTACAGTATTTTGATGTTGCGGTCACTTGTTGAGGTTAAAGAGTTCGATCCATGTGAACGAGTTACCTTGGAGCAGAGAGGTTCCAGGTGCGACACTCTCAGGTATGTTATCTCTGCTGTAGATGGAGTGGAGGAACTCAGGTGTGCAGTCGTTCTCATCTGTTACGTGAACAACAACCTGCAGGAAGCATCTAAATGTTAATATTTTATAACTTTAATAATTAGGCATGTGAGGAAGAAACCAGTGGTTTCTGCGGTCAGTCTGGAGATCGATCCCTGATGGAAGAAGTTCCTTTTAAAGTAGACATATCATGCTTTTAAATCCTTCCTTTTCATATTTAAATCATTCAGCTGGCATCTTTATAAAGTGAAACTACAATGCTTTGGATTGAATTTCTTCTTATTCTAACTTTACTAGCCCCTATTTCATCCCTTTTCTGGTGTGTGTCTCAAAGCAGTCGGTTTGGTTACTATTCTTTTAAAGGGGCAATATGATGTAAAATCAAATTTTTTTAGCTTTATATCATGCTATGATGTTATCCTCTCATCAAAAACATGTCCAGAGTCTTACTTTGACTCATTCATGCATGTTTAAGAAAACCTGTAGTGTCCTGAGGCGATCAGATGGGAGCAAAAACGATTGGTTGGGACCAAAATCTATAGCACACACCCTGTGAAAACCATGTCTGCTGAGCTCCCAATGCCACTTCTCAATGCAGCCAAGGAAACTACACCAAGCTTCCTAATTTTGCTGCATTTTAAATTATCATTACACCAAAGCATGCTACTGAGCTCCAGCTTGTAAACAGCAGAGAAACGGCTATGATGACGTGCTGAAATGGGCATGATCTTAAAGAGACAGAGGCCAATTTCAAGGCATTTAGAAACATAAATGAATGCCAAGTCAAGTGTATTTTGGATTTAAATATAAAACAGCATTTTAATAACAACTGAAGGTGACATAGTTACTTTATTATGGTATTTAATTTAAATATATGCCTGAGAAACACATAATATTGCTCCTTTAAGACACTTCAAGCCCCGCCCCTCTCCAGCTTCCAGACTGCTCCACTCCAGTTTGAGAGGACGGGGTGGGGTTTTCTAGCTTGCAGAAATGTTTTACTTACAATTTAATTAAAATACGTCAACAGACGATTTGTTCATCCAGCCTTACATGTTGGAGCCAGAGTCTGACCCAGAACCAGAGGAGAATTAAAATGAGGAAATTGAAGTTGATAAGTCCAGACCTTATATGGTAATTCCAATGTAGATAATTGGGCGTAATAGCTTAGAAAATGTCATAGAAAATAGAGAAAACTGACCAGGCTGAAAAAAAAAAAGACCCAAACAGAATATACAGATATATTTGCAGCACCAGGAGAAGCAAATTCAACTTTTCTGAACTCCTACTACGCAACAAAATGTATTTAACAGCCAAAAAAGTCGATTTTGCACGATATGTTCCCTTTGACGTTTTCTGTGAGACTCCGTGGTTGCTTCTACTCTAGWGTGCCACACTGGAAAGATAAAGATGGCTTTAATAAAACAATGTACTCTATGGCTCCTCCTGGACGGGAGAGACTCATTTCCATTTTGTCTATTTTTTTCTCCATCTCCACTTTGAGCCCTTTAAATGTCAAGCCTCTATGTCTTTGTCTCACCTCTGTTTCTCTCTAGTTCATCCTCATCCCAAGCTGTTGGAGCTCAAGCAAAAAAAAAAAAAAAAAACTAAAATAAAAAATATAAAAAACCCCCGGCTCTATTCCCACAAAGCCTGATTTAGCTGGTGGGGCTGCCGACCTGACCACCTGAGCGCAGATTTTCTCTGCAGCCCTGAACTTTCAACACACCACCTGTTCGCCTAGAACAGCAGGGCAGCAGAAGGAGAAGCCGAGAGGATTTAAATGCATGGCTGCCTCAGCGTATATGCACCAATAATATAGATTGAAGTGTAAACTCGAAGAAAATTGGTTATTATTTCCACTTTAGACCCAGCGAGTAATTATGCATTTTCCAAAGTAGAGCATTTTAATCAAAAAATACGATACAAAGAAAACAAGGAAACAAACTGCTTTTACTTTTTTTCCCCAAATGTGAAAAAGAAGCACAAATTATCGTGAATGATGTGGTGCAGGCAGCGAGCACCTGTCAATAGTAATTACTTACTGCATAATGAGGTCTTTTTATTATCTGCAGAACATAATTTGTGTGATTTCTACCTTATGAAAAAAGAAATGTGACCATTTTTTTTTACTTTCTAAAAGGACTGGTTTGCACAACAAGTATAAAACATTTTCTAAATGTTTCCTGATGTGAGTGAAGGGAACACATATTGCACTTCAAAAAAGCAAGTGTCACCACTAGCTCTGCCTGTAAACTGACTGACAAACTAGGATGAACACTATATTATATACCAGGGCTATTCAAATGGTGGCCCGCGGGCCACAACCGGCCCCTCGGGTGACTTCCACCCGGCCCGCCAATTTTTAATTTTTTTTTAAACTTAATTTAATGTAAAATAGATTTCAAATCATTTGCAAATTTAAAATCTATGTTTCAATGCCACAAAATAAAATTTAAAAAGCAAAAGACAATACTTGTTCTGTTAGATCAGGGGTCTGCAACCTGAGGCTCTGGGGCCACATGTGGCTCTTTGGTTCCTCTGCAGTGG